CTTTACAGATAACAAAAGAATGCAAGAAATTTTCGAAGACTCTTGGACTGCGTGTAGTCTGTGTCTATGGAGGAACTGGGATCAGTGAGCAGGTAATAAGCGCAGTGTTTTTTTGGGGCATAACTCTCATATTTAATTCAAACATCTGTAATGGACTCGATACTTAGCTATTTATGAGCCATCTGTCATCTAGATTTTGGGATTGGGTCACACATGTTAAATTTGAGCCCTGGGGTATAGTGAATGTAAGAAAAGGTTATAATATCCTTTCATTTTGCAATGAAAGACTGAGGACATTTTTGATGTAATTAATATAGAAGTGTATGTTAAATCCAGTTTGTGTGTTTACAGATTGCAGAACTTAAAAGAGGTGCTGAGATAATTGTTTGTACCCCAGGACGTATGATAGACATGTTAGCTGCTAACAATGGTGAGTCAACAACTTTTTTTTGTTGTGGATTTGTATTATTTTGTTTTGCTCCTCTCCACCACGATATGAAGCTTTGTTTTTGCAATGGATACTTTAAATCACTCGTCATGTGTCCTTTAAAGTTGTTTTATTTTAACACTAGGGAATTCTTCATGCTATCCAAACATATCTGTTTGGCCCATTAAACAACTCAAAAATATGTATTCTGAATTTTCTTTCCACAATTACCCATACAAGTATAAGGGTCCTAAATTACTGATCACCATGGTACTATTGCGAGCATTTGTTCTTAATTGTAGGAGCTGGTGGAAGCAATTTGTTTAACACCAGTTTTTGTATATCTGTTTAGTGTGAGAGTGTGTCTGTATGTACGTATACACACATATGTACAGGTTTATTTCCCACATGCTCACCCATTTACTGCCTAAAAGGTTGATTTTTGGACTCTCGTAATTGCAGAATATTTTGGCCTTTTTAAAATCACCCAAAATCAAACCGTACTGGGTTGCTTACTGAATATTTAGGTCATTTTGTATTTATAAATTGTTTGTAGCACTAAAACTTTGATTAGTTGAGACTGTTTGCTTTCAATATGATCCAGCTTTTTAAAACTCTTTTGAATCTTGTTTGACAAGGTTTTTGAGATATTTCAAATGCTAACATGAACCAATTTTTGAATATCTGCAATTTAATACTTTGATCAGTGGGACCAGTTATCATAATTACTGGTATTTTTTATGTACACAAATGCAGGCTAAAAATATTGGTGGATAAAATGCTTTTGCATGAGTTTGTCATGCTTTCACCTATACATTTATGAAAGCAAATTTACATTTCATTCTTGGGACATGCAGACATGCAGAAAGCACATAATCTTTCTGCTTTTTATCAAAAAGACACAGGAAGGCATAATCAGAGTTTTTCAAACACAATGTGGTCCATAAAGATGTTCTCTGATTTGTATTGATGACCGGCACAGTGGTATCATCTTCTGTTGCTTGCTTTCATAGCCTTAGTTCTATGACATACAAGTATTTTCACACAAAAAGACATCAGTCTTCACTTTATTCACACAACCTTACAGTATGTAGTGTGTGAGGATGTGTGATGGTAACATTTTGTAATTCCATTAAAATAAAACAAAGCTGCTTTAAGGTTTTCTCACATCTGTAATTTGCATGCTGTACGTGACTTTTTTTATTTTAATTTTATATTGTAATAAACACTTACTAAACTGTTGACATTATTTGACCTCTATGGGGCAAAAATATATCGGTGCAAGATTTGTAGGACTTGGATTTCCACGACTGCTTTCTGCTGAGGTAGGTTCATTAAATTTTATGGCAATTTGCCTGGATTTCATTTTTTTATTTTTTCAGTGGATGAATTCCATTCTCCTGTAAATATGGTAAGGTATTTGGTTAATAGAGATGAATGTTTCATCTAGGGCAGGTCTTCCGTGAAAGATGTTTAGGTTTTATGATTTTCCATTACTGTATATGTGTATATATATATATTTCAAGAGTTTGGACCATATTTTCAGAATTTTGTTAATGGCTGAACCTTAAACTATCTTGGTTTGCCTTGTTTTTTTTTATATTTGCTTTGTCTGTATGAACTCTTGCAATGCTTTTTTGGCTTAGCCCCTTGCTATGAATTCATTTGTAGTCCATAGTACTGATATTTGAGGTGGCATCACTGATGTCCTGTGTCTTTCACAGAACACTAATTACTGAGTCAGAGGAAGAACCAGTATTGTACAAGCAGCCAGCAACACCATGATATTTTAAATCTGCCCTATCATGTAAAGACTGCATAAATACTGGAGTTTATTTATAGGTCTTAGGCAATGGGTAAATCTCTTCAAATGTCAAATCTTGGGACCTAAGCTAGAGAGACATAATGCTCCACTTAACTGGTAATTTTAATCAGAATTTGTGCACACAATGTTCAGTTATAATACCAGAGCCACTGTGTGAGCCATTTTAATAATCTTTGAGGACTAGAGATGTGTATTACATTATCTCTACATTTATATGTAAATTACACCTGTTTAGTTTTTATGCATGCTTGTGTCACAAGCACACTCAAAGGTAACAATTACCGTATTGACATATAGTAATAAGTGGGCATCTATAATTTTTTGTAAAGCAAACCTTGATCTTTAACACAAGCTCTTTGCCTCCCACACATGCGCTGTAATCTCTAATATGTTCTTTTCTAGGTGTCTGCTGTCATTTAATGCCTGACGTGGCTCCAGGCTCCACCTCAGTCTTAGTTTTATGATGTGTGTTTGGCGAGGGCTGAATTTTACAGGTCCTCCTAGCCATGCGATGGTACGCAAGAGTAGTCTTAACACATCCTCCTACTATAGAGCAACCTTTGGGGCTCAAGTGAATTAAAATGAAGCACAAGTGCTTAGATTGTAACACTTTTCATAATTTGCTTAATTCTTTTTTCTCTTTTTTACTCTCACAATGAAAAGAAAAATTACTTTCACTATAAAAAATAAATTAATATGTTATCCCAATTTTCTGTTCCTTTCCCCTGTGCAGGACGAGTGACCAACCTGCGTCGTGGAACATATGTTGTTTTAGATGAAGCCGACAGAATGTTTGATATGGGTTTTGAACCACAGGTACATTTTAATTTTTACAGAAATGTGAGAACGTGTCCCTCTCAGAAATGCTATGTATTCAAACCGAGTACTTTTATAATACTTATAACAGCAATTAAATTATGTTAGCACATGTAAAAACTGTACTGCTTTGAGGGAGTTCGCAAAATAAACTGGGTTTGTCATTTTATTGCTAAAAATGCTTGTTATCCTAAACAGTAACTTTTATGCAATCGTATTTATATAGTTGCATTATTTAAATCCGTGTGATAGTATCTTGTGTTCACCATATACACAATTATACTATAAATCAGGGATATCTTCACTAGCCATTGATGAGTAAAAATGTAGGCCTGGTAAGCAGAATTGACTCCAGTTAGTGTGCCACTAAGCACCCAGGCTTGCAGGTACAAATATAGTTTATGACATGGGTGTCCAACCTTTTGACTTTCCTGGGCCGCATTGAGTGCAGAGGAATTGTCTTGGGCCCACATCAAATAGATCATATCGATTTATAGATAATATATATTTAAAAGCCCTTTTCTTAGTTTTGATATTTCAGTTGTTGAGTCGATAACTCCCTTATTTGTTATCCTTATGTGGGATTAGCATATTTAAGGATATCAAATTAGGGAGCTATCTACTAAACACATACCCATGTATATACGGATGCACACATAACCACAGATACACACAGTCAGAAATCTATATAAACATAATCACTGATACACATACAATCACAGGCCTATACGCACAATCACAAATACACACACACATACAATCACAGACCCCCACACACATACAATCATATACCTATACACAGTCACATACATACATACACAATCATACACAACCTATGCACACAATCACATAAATGTGCACACACACACATAATCAGACCTACACACATACACAGTCACACATATCCACAGACTCCTCCCCCACAGCCAATCACTGACAAAACATACACAAAAATCACATGCACACACATTTAATACTAAAGAGGTCCACCCAGCTTCCCTACCTTGCTTTTGGAAGGCTGGAGTGGATCATCTTCCAGGTGGCCAGTGATTGCTGCTTACACCTTTATGTATGTATGTATGTATATTTTGTATATTTGTAGAGGTGGTTTAGGGGATACCACTCAAGGTGTTTAGAGCTCTTTTTTACCAATCACTTTAAATTGTGCACTCTGTTAACAATTAGTGATTGCTGCTGGGCTGGAGCCTGGGACCTCTGTGCTCTTCATGCACAGGTTCCTCGTGCGCCCAGCCATGATGCCAAAAAACCTGGCCCAGGCCCCTCTCTACACAAACCTCTGCCCAGTTCACCTTCTACAAAACTTCCACTTCTACAAAACCACTGCCCAGTCCCCATTCTGCAAAATATCCCCTTCTACAAAACTCCTGCCCCCCTGATTCACACAAACCCCTGCCCCCCCCGGACAGCAACCGGGCCGCAGGTTGGACACCCATGGTTTGACTTAATATCCTCTAGGCAATCTATAGGAGTGCTAAAAAATTCAAGCATTATTCTTTAAATACAGTGCTTTTCATTTCTGCACACAGGTAATGAGGATCATTGATAATGTGCGACCTGATCGACAAACAGTCATGTTTTCTGCCACATTCCCAAGAGCTATGGAGGCTTTAGCCAGAAGAATTTTAAATAAGCCAATAGAAGTACAGGTTGGAGGGAGAAGTGTGGTGTGTTCTGATGTGGAACAACATGTGGTGAGTGGCCGCTAAGATCTACTTTCAATCATCCTTCATGAAACCAATGTCTTTAATAGTAAATTGTTTTAATTCAAGAAATATTTTTGTAAAAAAAAATGTGTCAAATTGAATGAATGTTTTTAAAACACACTATGGTGGCAACAAGCATACATAAACACCACTGTCACTTTAAGAATTGGCTCTTCAAAATATACGTATACAACATATGGAGTAATACAGGATTTAAAGAGTTTCCCCAACCAGTGTAAAATAGAATAATGCCAAGGGCATTATTCTATTTTACACTGGTTGGAGAAACTCTTTAAATCCTGTATTACTCCATATGTTGTATACGTATATTGTGACACTATGTGTCGTCCACAAAAAACTGTGTTTTAGAGTTGTTGTTTTTTTTAATTTGATTATTTATTAGCAATGTTTACATTGCAAGGTTAAATCGGCTCTATAACCTTCTGACGTCTTTGCAAATTATGCTCCGCTTGTATTCCGGTGGAGAAGGGGAGGGCAAGGGAAGATAGTTTTTACTTACCCAAATCTGTCCTTCACTGGTGTCTCCACCTATTTCCTCAAAATTTGCTTCACCTCCTGGCACTTCATCTGCAAGGAGCTGTTGTTATCAATGCGCAAGAATATAACAATGGTGTCTATGGAGGATCCCACAAGACCTTGGGATCCTCCATAGAAAGAGCCTTTTCCTCTTAGCTGTCACTTGTCAATATGGGACTCGGACGGG